AGAGATATCTCAGGATCCTTCTCTCTTATATTTATTATTGTTTCGGAGGTATATCCACTCCATTGGAAGATAGTACTTGCTTGAAGTCTTCTATTTTCCAATCGAGATTTCTAGGCCTTAGGGACACTACATCTCCAGGATTGTATTTTTGGTTTAGGCACTTCAATTTAATTAATCTAACATCCTAAAAAAACAAGTTATTAACTGATTTATTATTCATTAATACTTTAAATAATTCTTTTACATAATCAAACAAAGAGTGACACAAGAAAAGAGTACTCTAAACCAATATGGATTAAAATAAATGAATATTGTTAAAATGAAAGCACAATTCATAACAATAACAAAAAAATTGTACCTGAAAATGGTCAGATGATGTCAATCTGGAATTTTCTATCACTGTAGCAACAAAATCTGATGGTTTTCTTACATAGGAATAAATAGAGTGTGGCTTGTGTGATTCCTCTTTAATTGTACTAAAATGACTAACAACATTCCATCTACAAAAATATAAAGAATATACATAAAATAAAATTGATTGTTCATTGGAATTCAAGTCATTGAAAAAAAAAACCGTCTATATATGTAAAACAGTCCATATATGTAAATAATACCAAACTTCAGCAAGTTGATAAAATTGTTTGCCTTGGATAGCAATTAAATTGTAACACAGAAAGTCACAGCGAAATTAGATCTAGGATAGGCCAGGTTAGAGCTGCTTTTAGAAGGATGTCCAAGGTGTTACATAACAGAGACCTAAAATTGGCATTGAGGATCCGCCTATGTGTTCTTTGTCTTACTTTATGGTTGTCGAGTCCCTGGAATGTGAATAAAATCGATCTAAATCGCCTTGAGGCTTTCGAAATGTGGTGCTATAGAAAGTATAAGTTGTCTGAGTGGAGAAGATTCGAAACTCCACAAACAAAAGATGGGGAAAGCACCAGGATGCGATGAAATACCAGGTCGAATTCTTAAAAGTTTTTAACGAGAACAACCTGAATGTAGTATTGGAACTGTTTTAATAAGATATACGATACTGGTCAAATTCCATCGGGATGGTTTGAAATCTACATTTGTTGCCCTTCCCAAGAAATATAATTCTAAGCGTGTAGTGAATATCGCACCTTATAAGTTTAATGAGCCACACCCTTGAAAGTATTTTTGCGTATTATCCATTCCAGAATACGAGCAAAATTAGAACACAGCATAAGTAAAACACAGTTCGGTTTAGATGCGGTTTTTGGAACTCGAGAACCCCTCTTTGCAATACAAGTTTTGATTAAAAAATGCCTGGATCAACAGAAAGATGTTTACGTCTGTTTTATCGACTATGAGAAAGCATTCGATACTATCAAACATGACAAACTCATAGAACTATTCCGTCTTTCAGGATTGACACTAAGGACATCCAGATTATAAAAAAATCTATATTGGAATCAAACAGCCCACATGAAGTAATGGGACATATGGTGAGTGAAAACTTAACCATTTCTAGAGGGGTAAGAAGGGCTGTATTCTTTGCCACTGCTTATTCAATCTGTACACGGAACAAATATTTCTAGAGGCACTAGAAGAGTACATAAGGGCATCAAGATTTAATGGCGTAATAAAAGTAATTTTCGATATGCAGATAATACTATTATACTGGCCAATAACATCGAAGATTTAAGATGATGCTACATAGAGTTAATACAACTGGCAGCTGATTTGGACTGAAGATCAATAGAAAGAAAACTAACTTATGGTGATCAGTAAAAAAAAATTTCAACATATCGACTGTATATTGAAGATGAACGTATTGAAAGAGTACACAATTTAAATATCTGGGATATACAGTAAATGACAAGTGGGACCAGAAGTAGAGATTAAGATCCGAATTGAAATAGCAAGATTCATCAAAATGAGAAAGCTCTTAAGCAACCGCAACCTAAGCATTAACCTCCGATGGCGCGCCACGAAATGCTACGTACTCTCTACGCTACTTTACGGTGTAGAAGGGTGGACGTTAACAGCAGCAACTATAAAGAAGTTAGTGGCTCTAGAAATGTGGCTGTATCGACGCATACTGAGAATACCTGGACAGACAGAGTGACCAACACAGAGGTATTAAGACGAATGGGTAAAGAGGTGGAATTGTTAACAACTGTTAAAAGGAGGAAAGCGTCATACCTGGGCCATGTGTTCCGTAATGATAAGTACAGTCTGCTACAGCTTATCGTGGAAGGCAAGATTGAAGGTAGAAGAGGTTTGGGCAGAAAGAAGAAATCCTGGCTGAGAAACTTGAGAGAATGGTTTCAAATACCAGAAGCTGCGAACATAATTCATGCGGCACAAAACAGAGAAACCTTTCGTATGATGGTCGCCAACCTTCAGTAGAAGACAGCACATAAAGAAGAAGCATAGTTAGTCACACAAGGAATTCATAATAAATATGTAAAGTTAATGCTTTAAAAGGAAATGAATTTGATTTGGTATAAATTTATAAAACAATGTCAGAGTAAAATCGTAGACTAACCTAGGTTCAATCCTATACTGCTTTGATAAAGGTTCTATCCCCACAGGTAGAGGATGAAACCTTAAAATGCTACTCCAGAGACTTTCTATCCAAGGATCAGCTGCAGCATCATACCCTAAATCATGCTGGTCATCACCTAATCCTAAAGGTATGAGAGGATTGGCTCCCAATTGTAGTAACCTCTTATAAAGCCTCTTTGCTGTAAAATTGTACTTTGCATAACTTGAATCTCCTAAACCAAAAACAGCAAACCTAAAAACACATATTAGTTGGAATGTTTCGTCTTTTAATAGTTTAACACCAAAAGTATAAAACAAAAACAACTTTGGTACCATTAGGTAACACCTGAACTTGACAATACATACTTGAGTTTACATAGAATGTCTGAAGGTAGGTTTTTCCTTAATAAAAATTCCAAAATGATTTCATATTATCTGGTTCATCACCTTGTCCAGTAGTTGCACATACAAAGATAACACAAGTTTCCTGGATAAGATGAAGTACATCATAGTCATCTAAAGCCTTGACGGAGCCTTTAAAATGAAATCTCTTGGACTCTCTCCATATCCTTTCTGCTAAATCCTGAGCGTTTCCAGTTTGGGAACCATATAATACTGCTATTCTCTGATTTTCAAAAGTCATCTGGTTAATATATTAATTAAGTCAAAGGTATTCACAGTTATTCCCATTAATTACTCACCCTTTTAAAAATCGGTTATATAATTCAAATAAATTTCTGCAATTTTTAACTCTTAACATCTAAATATCCCAGTTTTATCTTTAGCAAATTTGGCATTGGAGATATTGGACCTTAAACCTAACCTAAATTTTAAATTACAGTACCAAGATCCGTGTACAGTACAGTTCAGTAAACCACAGAACTCACCATGGATTTCGTGCAATTGTGATTAAACTAACATAGATTGATAACAAGGATAGTCAAGGTCAACGCACGTTTTTTGTTTGGCACCCTTCCGTTGGGTGGCACTGCTAGTCTCGTTCCCGTGCGTTGTTCATTGCCACTTTATGTCATTAAAGATTAAGTCAAAATTTGTTTGATGTTTTTCATAAATAGCGCAAAAAGGTACAATTTTAGACGATTTTTAATTATGGAATCGAAACACATTACATGGAATAACAATGGAAACATGAAGAACTGACCAAAAAAGATGTGTTCCAGATTACATGGATATTAAATACATGGATGACTCGGTCATGCAAAAAAGGATATTTTTCTCTAGCACGTCTGAAGTAATTTTTCTTTGAAAATTGTAGGTGAGTCTTAGCTTTATAGCTAATTGGCAATCTTGACATAAAGGTAGTAAAAATAAAATATGTGTTTAATTTTTTTTCTTTGGACCTAATTGTCTTTTCTTATGTAGAAAAACTTTTTTAACACTATTTTAAATCAAGGTTAAGCCAGGTCTACACGATATGTTACTCACGATACTACAATGTGTATCACTGTTTTTTAATAAATCAATAATAAAAGTGGATTTACAATGTAATAATCACGTTGATTATGTAGTTAAATGAGTAGAATCTCCTTAAGGACAAATGTTCCTATTTTATGATAGAATACAAACAACATTTCACAATTCAATGTTCTTATTATTGTATGATTCCTTTCTAAAAAATTACATTGCGTATGAATTTAGCTAAAATTATTTAGGAAATAAAATTTTATTGGATGAAAAATTCGGAATAAGTAATGTAGCAAGAAACCTAGAAAAAGTGGTAGAGAACTAGAAAACCTCCATTAAAAGAATCTTGTGAAGTAAAACATCTATTATCATACCCGAATAAGGTTCAGGTTTCAAAAAAGTTCAGACTATTATAGTTCTCTTTCCTTGTCTAAAACCAGAAATCAAAACATAACATAATTGTTTCTACTCTAAAAAACCGGCAACACCTTATACACCTTTACCACAGAATAATAAACAAACATTCTTTATTATTCTGTGACTTTACATCCGCCTAAAACTGTCAATATAGTTACTCACCCTGGCACTAAGCGATGCGCCAATCGTTGTTTTACTCTTTACCACCGGACTGGCACTGCTAGGTATGTGTGGTGCTGTGAATAATAACATTTGTTACGTTATAGATTACTGTAAACTCATATAAAGAAAAACCAATTGGTTAAATTGTTAGAAAATAGATGGCAACAACGTTTTGTAAGATAAAAATAGCTGTAAATTTAAAAGAATATTATGGATTGGAAAATTGGGATTACTTCAGTATCACGCAGTATACAAATTATGTATTTAATGCTGTTTACCAATTGTTTATGTACATTACTTTTTATATACCAATTTATTTTAGAATAAGGTGAATTATAAATTCTTTTCAAAAAATTACCGCTTATCTCTAATTATTACATGTGCTAAAAAAAGAGACAGTACATTATAGTGAAATGGTTCCATGACAAAATGACAATGAACAATGTTAATTTATATAGGTTAAGTTTTTACTTCTCGCGAATGTCTAGGCAAAAGATTACTAAAAAGCCCACTTAAGCGGAATCTCGCTAACCTTCACTAAATTTTGTTGTGCAATTGATATATCCGAGCTGATCAAAATGTTATTATCATCAAGACCTCGTTGCGGTGCGTACGATAATGAATGTATTCCAAATGTATCCATCAATTTTTCGTAAAACTATTCGAAATTCTTTATGTGGCTATCACCAAAATGTGCAATAGTGAAAATGACAGTGACGGGGTCCCTTACTCGTTTAAAGTGTTTCGGTATGAAAAAATCGTACCGAATAAAGCGTGCAAATTGCCGTTTCCTCGGAGTGGACATAGAATCGGGGCGGACTCCTCGAACTTTTATTCGTTTGGGGGCTACAACCCCCTAGTTAGGGACGTAGTGTCGCAACGTGAAGACGAAGATGACTTTTGGATACAGTCCTATCCGTTGTTCCAAGAACTGTGGAAATTTAATTTTGCATCCAAAGAATGGACCAAGTTCAAGAATAGTGAGACTCTTCCCATGGAATTGGCATCAAATGCCCTTATTCTACATGGAAATATCTTGATGGTATATGTTTGTGTAAGATTTTAATATTTATTGAATGTAAGATTTTGCAACACATAGTTTTTCAATCATATCTAAACCTTTTTTAAATATTGAAGCAATGGCATTTATTGTGTCTGATATTGATTAATTATTTAATAATATTGCATCGATTATATGTTTTTAACATTAATCTGTTATCATTTAGTATATTAAATGATTTATTATAGATGCCCTCTATTTTTGTAACATGTAATTTCCTATCTTTTATTTTAAACAGTATTTAGTCATAAAAACCTTGATCTATTTTCTGAAAGATAAATATCTTTCTTTTCTTAATTTTTTTCTATATATTTTACATAAAGACAACTATTCTCTTGTTTTCCTTAACATTTTAGAGCAAATACTACTGTGATGAGCCTGTCTAATTTTAGTTAATAATCTATTCTATCTAATTTTAATGTTCTGATGTTAAGGACTGCATTCTTTGTTATTTCAGAAAGATTTGTTCAAATCTCTCCTTTATTCTGATTGATAAACTCTAGATCTCTCCTTCTGTCTTGATAAACCACATATTTCTCACCATGCCACTGCTTTTAATATGTTTCATCATCAATCAGCCAATCGCGTCCACTGCTGGACATAGGCCTCCCTCAGTTCTTTCCAGTGTTCTCTACACTGGGCCGCTTGTAGCCAGTTTCCCGCTACACCGTTTTATATCATTGGTCCATCTAGTCAGTGGTCGTCCTTGGCTTCTTTTATAGTTTCTGTGCCTCCATTCCATAATACGTCTTGTCCACTATCCATCTTGTGTTCTGGCTAAGTGCCCTGCTCAGTTCCACTTGAGCGTCATGGATCTTTCGATGACGTCTTGAACTCCTGATCGTTTCTGATTTGTTGGTTTGTTATGTGGTCCTCGAAGGCTCAGGTTCAGCATTGCACGTTCCATGGCTCATTGTGTAACTCTGAGTTTATTCGCAGATTTAATTGTGTTAAAGTCTCTGCTCCATAAGTTTGTACAGGTAAAACACCTTGTTTATAAACCTTTCGCTTGAGACACATGGGAATTTGAAATTTTTAGAATATGGCTTAATTTGCCAAATGCTATCCAAGTTAGCTATTCGCCTCTGTATTTCATGTGTTTGATTGTCTCTGTTTATTTTGATATTTGTAAGTGTCTGTTTGTTGTTGGTATTATTGTCAATAGTTATATTTCCACTCATTACGAGATTTGTTCTAAGTTTAGTTTTCTCAGTTTATCTCTATCCTGCTCTTTCAGACAGGACTTTTAAGCGAATGCATCATAGAAACTGTATCATGTAAGTTATCTGCGATTAATACAACATCATCTGCAAATTTAGGTGATTTAATGTTTCTCCATCTATATCTTGTCATTGAGTGCTCTTAAATATTGACTCTAGAGCTGCCATGAACAATTTTGGTGAAATATTGTCTCCTTTTCTAATTCCAACCTAAGCTGAATTTTTCTGTGTCTTTGTGTTTAATATGTATAACTTTATAATAATCAATAGTTTTATCCCATACAGATTGTCTCACCTTTACTAAACTTATTAAACTTTTGATGTCTACTTTACCCAGCTCATATTAATACACTACTTGTAACTACTTGTGACAGTAAACAACTAATTAAAAAATTACTTACCTACCCTTTTTTGGTGTTCAAACAAAATTCAAATCCAAGGAGCCCACCTAAATGCAAGCGTAACTGACGTTTGATCCGAATTTTTTTATTGTGATAGGGCAGACGGTTTGGATTGCCAAAGTAAATGTAAATTTTTTACATATCCATTCAAATATCCATGCACATCAGATGCAAAAAAATGTAAGGGAGGAAAATTTTAGTCAAAATTCAAAGTATTTCAGTTTTTTTTATTTTTTTTGCCCTATTTTGATGATTGTTTTAGCAAACTGTGTATAAAATGTATACATTTTAATTTAGTATAGTGAGTTTTTAATAAAATTTTTTTATTTGACTTATTATACGGGTTAATCGAAAGGTGGTTTTTTATCCTAACTTTGAAACATCCTGTGGAATAAATCCATTAGCGGATTTCGTATAACCTTGTTTTTCGATTGCAACCATGTCTTTTAAAGTATTATGTTTTTTATTTCATGTGAAAATATGGATTGGTTCATTTTTTTGGGAGCGAAATGATTTTGCCACCCACAATTATGAGTATTCCTATTATTACCCTTATCTTTTGTATTAATTTGTAATATGACGATGCAGGCTTTGGTGACTGATATCAAAGGAATGTCATATCGACATCCCAGAAGCCATTTTCTTAAAATTAAGGAAACACGATTTCGTAATCTTGGTTTTATTTATCGTAACAGTCATGATCTCTCACGTGTTGTATTCAAATTATTGTATTGCTCTGTGGTATGCTCAGGTCTTGAATACTGCTCTGTTGTTTGGTCCCATTTCTTCAATTATACATTGATGGATTGGAGAGTGTTCAGAGGAAAATATTTTTTAGCTTTTAAAGCACATATTAATATAAAAAATACTGAAAATTATTTCATAGATTATTCTATAATAATGTCTCAAATTTAACATAGAAGGACCACAGGTTGGGAGCTGATATCTTATTTTTTTTTTTAAATTTCTATACAATGTTATTAATTGTCCTCGTTATTAGCCAATGTACACTTAAAAACAATACATAGAACTTGACACACTGCACTCTTTTATATTCCTTTTCATAGACCAATTATGCTTGTCATTTTTCCTTGTCAAGAATGCTCAGCTCTTGCAATGACCTCCTATTGGATCCTTTCAGTCCAAACATTAATGTTTTCAAAAAGCAAACTTAAGAATCTAATTATTAATCTAGATATGTGATATTTTTTTTAATTTTTGTGATTTGTTATACTGTTTTGATGTTTATTGTACATGGTCTTTACTTTTTTCTATTTGTTGTATTTTATTGTAAATGGTTCTACCATTGAAATAAATTAAATAAATAAAATATCAAAACATAAAAAAAGCTTAAATATAACTTAACGTGAAGTAAGCAAATAACAAAGAAAAACTACTAGAAAATAACTTAATACATACTTTGTATTTTCCTCCCCTAGTCTCTAGAACTGCTTGTACACGTCGGCTCAGACTGTCTTCATAGACTCATGGTTGAGAATATTATCTTGCTGGTAGTTTTTGTCATTCCGCTTCTAGAACCAAGCGAAGTTCGTTAATTGAGGCTGGTTGTGACTTCACGACCTCTACCCAGCAAGTTCCAAATGTGCTCTATTGGGTTCAGATCTGGAGAAACACTCTGGCCAGTTCATTTTATTAATACCAACTTCCTCTAAAATATTGCGTGACATACATTGAAGGGTGGGGTCGCGCATTATCTTGCATTAAAAGAAAATCATTGCCGATATAATAAGAAAAGGATACTATGTGATTCGCTAAAATTTCCTCAATATACAGGTGTGCAGGTAACGAACCCTCAATAAATACGTCCATGATACCTATACAGTGTGATCATGTCGGGATATTCCTGCCCATACCATCACCGAACCCCCTCCATGGCTAATGCAGGGACTGAAAGTGCACTCAGATGTGCACCCCGCTAATGCTGGGACTCAAATCTCTCCCCATTTTGATGAGTGAAGACAGTATCTCGACTCATCCGTAAAAAGAACATTACTCCATTATCCTAAATTCCAATGTAAATGTTCCCTGAAAAATTGTAGTCTAGCTACTTTGTGCCATGGAAGTAATTTGGGCCCAGTTGCTGGTCTGCAACTTTGCAAATAAATTCATGTAATCTTCTAATTTTGCCCATCTTCAACCAGAGCAATGGCTTTCGCACAATCTTCGACACTAATAAACCATGATCAATAATAGGTTAAACAAAATGTAAGTGTCCAATATGACATAATGATAACAGTCACCAAGCCACCCCGTTGTATTACAAATAACTCTAAAATAATCATAATTAAAAATGTCCTAAATTGTGGGTGACAAATTCATTTGACTCTAAAAAATGAACCAAGGCATGTTTTGACATTGAAACAAAAAACACAATGCTTAGGAGACATGGTTGGCAACCGAAAAAATAAGGTTTTACGAAGATTCGCAAATGGAATTGTTCCACAGGATGTATCAAAGTTAGAATAATAAACCCATGTTTTAATTAACCCTGTACAATAAGCCAAATATAAAATTTTACCAAAAAACTGACTTAACCAAATTAAAATTTATATAATATTGTGTGTTAAAAAAACCAATCATCAAATAGGGCTAAAAATAAAAACCATTGAAATACTTTGAATTTGACCAAAATTTTTCTCCATTGCGTTATTTTTTTTGTATCTGAGTGTAAGTGTGATATACTATTTGTACCCTGAATGAGCTGTTAAGAGATTCTACTAGCAATCACAATTGTTCAAAAAGGTTTAGCTTTTTTAAAATATATGTTTTTGTTTATATACTTGATAAGTTTTTTTCAATGTACATTTATGCTTTGGTCATCCTTTATTTCTAGTTTATTTTCCTATTGTATATAAAAATATTTGTCCAATTTGTAAAAGTGTTTATCAGTAATTTGCATTTCTTTCTCTTCAATCTAATGGTGACATTGAACAATCTTATGAAGTATGTATTTCTCCAAAATTATGTTCAACAGTAAATGTTGTAATTATTGAAGTGACTTTTTTTGAAAATCAATTTAGAACCATTGGTATTTTTTTGTTATATTTATTATATTATACTATAAAAACTTATATTTTTATTTTATATTTGTGTGCAAAAATTCTTACACTCATTATCTACTTTCACTTTTAAATTAATAACTATTTATATTTTGTTCATGGATTAAGTGGAATATTTAACTACAAATATAACTTATATTTTTCTGACCTATTTTCTTGTGGCATCTTAAGACAATTAAGTACTACTTTTCATTAGAAATAAACCACAATTTAAGTTCCATCATCATCATTCTGGCTTTACAAACTGTGTGAGTCATGGCCTCCTCAATAATTTCTCTCTAGTTGTCACTATC